TTAAATCACAATTTTGTTAAATTCACATCAGAATCAATCAGAGTGAGTGAATGCAATCAGCGATTACGAATATAGAAACACAACAATGACATAATAATCACAGCAAACTTTTGTTATTAAATCATTTGGATAAAATATGATGTGCATTTTTTTAAATAGGAATAAAGGAAACTATCGTGCAATAACTGTTATATAACATGTTATGTAACAAAATACAATATATCTTTCTATTGTATAAAAGTATTCATATATAGATATATATATAACAAGGTTGGGATGTACAGAAGGTCCGAAGGAGAAAGATGTCAGTTTACTTCTAGTTTCCTTATAAGAGAAGATTCTAGAATGTTCCCTCAGTATCGGCGAGCGCTGATTGGAGGATACAAAAGAGCCAATCAGAGTGCGGCAATGCCATCATGCTTTATTTCCAATCTATGTCTCACTAACAAGAGGGCGATGGGCTAACACGTAACGCGATTAAATCTCAGATACTTCATGTGTGTAACTGATCTCTTGAAAGCATCAGCGTTTCATGAATCTAACATGACTGTGTATATGATGAGGTTAGTGATCCTATCCTTCGGAGTTCCTCATCACTTTTATCTTTTTCTTTCTTCTAAGTTTATTTCAGTAGATTCTACTTCTTCAATAATATCTTCGAACCCTTATCTCTCTAATTAATTCTAATACTTTTAATACATTGACTACGATGGGATTGGAATTGACAACTCCATCTCTCTCTGTGATAATATGGTATGTGTCAACTTAGACTGATGTGCGTACGTTCGTACGTACGAAGTTCTACGTTGTTGTTGTTGACTGAATGAATGATTGACGAGAAATAATTCGCTAGTCGATGGCCTATGTCCACCCCCCTACCGATTAGGGATAGCAGGAGTACGTAAGTACATAAGTAAGTAATGCAGTACATATATGTGTAGAGAGAGAGAGATAAAGATATGGCGATAATTAGATAGATTGATATCAAGGTAAATAATAGTACTGATAATCATGGTAATAATAATACACATTGAATTTTGAATAAAATCAGAAAATTTAAACAAAACTATACACATACCTTTACAATGTTCAATATTTAAAGTAAACAATCTGCTAATAGAATTGTTTTGTTCAGCTAATTTTTTTTAATAAATTATAAAAAGTGTTAAATGTTTATTGGTGAAACAAAAATTTGGTAAAACAATTTATACTACTGAAATAGTTGAATGAAAATTAAAGGAAAATAGGTAACTTAAACAATCAACCAATCAATTTAAAGGATATATATATATATGTATATATATCGTGTACACTAGAATACATACACAGACAGATACAACGCAGAATTTCGTACGTACATAAGTACATCAGTTCAGGCTGCCATACCACATCAGCACAGAGACGCAAATGTCAGTTCAAATACAATAGTGGTAGCGATAGTAGAAGTATTAGCAGTAATGGAGAAGATTAAGGTTTGAAGATATGATTCGAGAATTGTAATTCAGTGAGATAAATGTAGAAAGAGAAAAACAGAGATGATGAGGAATTTCGAAGGTTAGAATTTGAGAGAACACAAAGAGTGGATGCACCTGCGCCATCGCAAACTATTCTGAGCCATGTCATTCAAGGTCTCAAACCATTGATGACTTTCGTCTAGCGGACCCCAACCAAGTAGCCTACATCTACCAACATGACTCAGTCCACTTGTTAGTGATTTCATGGATTTCTGCCATGTTTTGGTTTTATAAACAGAAAAAAGGAAGGTGTATATACAGTTAATTATACTTTTGAGGAACCATACTAAATAATGTTTTCTGCTGAAGATAAGGGTCTGTTAGTCAGTCAGCTACAACGTAGAACTGCGTACGCACGTACGTTAGTTCAAGTTGCCATACCACCATATTAACTCACGCACAGATCAAATTATCAATTCAAATCTCATAACAGAAGAGTTCGTAAAACTACTACATGTCATCAAAAACTTATGGGGATCGAAATAAACTTAAAAACAGAAAAATAAAGCTGATGATGAGAAATTCAAACGATTAGAATTTTCAAAAAAACAAACAAATTAATCAATTTACGAACACTCATCACAAAGATATTGAATATAGGAAACGAACTAACTGTCATATAGTGTACCAAAATCAAAAAATAAACCATTATTATTATTATTATCATTATTATCATCATCAATAAAGGGCACCAGAACTAGTGATAGGGAGTGAAGTAGTCGAACGTGTTGACCGCTTCACTTATCTGGGGAGTCTCATCAGTGCTGACGGTCTGGTGACTGACGAAATCTCAGCTCGTACGCAGAAGGCTCAGCTTTTGCCAAACTGCGTCACTTATGGCGTAGGCGAGATATCCGTTTGCTGACTAAAGGACGAGTGTACTGTGCAGTAGTTCGCTCCGTCTTACTTTATGGCTGTGAAACATGGCCAGTGAGAGTAGAAGATATTCGTAGATTACTGGTTTTCAATCATAGGTGTCTCCGAAGCATTATTCGTGTATCCTGGGACGACCGAGTGAGCAAAGCTATCGTTAGGAAACGAGTTCTAGGTAGGGATGTCAAATCAGTAGATGAAGCATTGAAACGTCATCAGTTGAGATGGCTGGGACATGTGTTACGTATGCATAACCACCGACTACCAAGTCAAGCTATGTTTTGTGGTGTAGGAGTAGGTTAGAAGAAAGCTAGAGGTGACCAAACCAAAACATGGCACAAATCCGTAAAGTCACTGACAAGTGAACTGAGTCATGTTGGTAGATGTAGGCTACGTGGTTGGGGTCCACGAGACGAAAGTAACCAATGGTTAGAGACCTTGAACGACATGGCTCAGAATCATTTACAGTGGTACCTAACCTTGTGAATTCTTCATCGTCTCTATGTATCTCTTTCAATCTTTAACTCACTGAATTATACTTCTCGAATTATATCTTCACTCCCTAATCTTCTCCATTGCTGCTAATACTTCTACTATCACTATCACTCTTGGATTTGAACTGACAGTTACGTCTCTGTGCTAATATGATGCTAATGGCAACCTGAACTGAAGTACTTATGTATGTACGACGTTCAGCGTTGTATCTGTCTATCTGTCTGTCTGTCTATCAGTCTATCTATCATCAATAAATGAATACAGATGATAACAAAAAGAAACATGAGTAATCATCAATCAATCAAAGAGCACTTACTTAAATTATCCGATATATTAATCATTGGTAAATTCAATGGAATAAAATGTTCATGTTCACTAATACAACGTAATAATTCAAATCGTAATTCATTCAATTGATCAATTTTATCAATAGACTAAAAATAAAAAAATAAGAATAATTTTGGTGTTTTTGGGGAAGAGAAAAATAAAACAAAAACAATCAGTAACCGCAGTAACAATAATCAAAAATATAACAATAATTATCACATTGATAAAATATTCATGATCAATTAATCAGTCAACAGGAACGTAGAACTTCGTACGTATATACGTATGTACATTAGTTCAAATTGCAATACTACATCAAGGCAATTGTCAATTCGAATCCCAGTAGTAGTAGTGTAGTGAATGAGAACACAGGTGGGGCAACCGAATTGTATTTAACGAAAATTACAGAGTTACTCAGTAAAATCGGAAAACCATATCGTAAATCGTTCATTTGCAAAAGATCAGTTCATCCTATGGAACTAGACTGTTCCTGTTGCCAAACATCAATCCATTGTCACTATTCATGCGTTTCATACAAATTCCATTGTTTTCTAACTCTTCCTTTCTTGATCTTCCCCCCATATTATGCTACCAGACTTTACGTTGACACTCACGTTATATACTACTTATAAGTAGTTCGCACCACAGCACCACAGTAGTAGAGTCAGTCAGTTGCGACGTAGAACTTCGTACGTATGTACGTACATCAGTTCATGTTGCCATACCATATTAGCACAGAGGAATGTAATTGTCAGTTCAAATCCAAGAGTGATAGAGATAGTAGAGGTATTAATGGTGATGAAGAAGACTAGGGTTTGAAGATATATTATTCAGTAAGTATAATTCAGTGAGATAAGGTTAAAAAGACAAAGGTAGAGATTATGAGGAATTCAGAAGGTTAGAATTAGAGAGAACTCAAACAGTGGATGCACCTGCGCCATTCCAAACGATTTTGATCCATGTCATTCAGGGTATCTAACCATAGAGTATTATCGTCTCGCGGGCAACAATCAGGTAGTCGACAATTACCGACATGGATAAGTCCATTCGTCAATGACTTCATGGATCACTGCCATGTTTTGGTTTGGCCACCCCTAGTTTTCTTCCAACCTACCCCTACACCACAAAACAGCTCATCACGGCAGTCGGTGGTTAGGCATTCGTAACACATGTCCCAACCATCCCAACTGATGAAGTTTCATCACTACATCTATAGATCAGGCATCGTTACCTAGTACTCGTTTCCTAGGCACAGCATTGCTTACTCGGTTGTCACGCGATATTCGAGCAATGCTTCTAAGACATCTATGATCGAATACTAGTAACCTATGAACATCTTCTACGCTTGCAAGTGGATCCATTCGTTGTGCTCTCTCAAATCTTAATCTTCTGGATTCGTCAGCACCTCTACCTTTGTCTTTCTAACCTTATCTCACTGAATTATCCGACATTTGCGTCTCTGTGCTAATGTGGTATGGCAACATGAACTTATGTAAGTACATACGTACGAAGTTCTACGTTGCAACTGACTGACTCCTCACTCTTGACTATAATATCAAGACATTCGAAGGCAAAGAACACTAGTTCTGGTGAGGCGGATCATTATCATTATTGAGATTACCGTGTTACTCACAATACAACATAATCCGCCGCCAACTAATATTCTCCAACCTACTCTCTCCTAGGCCACTTCCCTTTTCCAGCTCTATCCAATCACTGTTCATTCTTCTCATCAATGAAATTACCCACTAGCATAGAAAAGCAACAGTTCGAACTCAAAACAAAACTTACCATTGTTGGTGATATTTCAAAATACACCAATAAATCACGTATACGTTTCAAAACATAACCACGATCCAACAAATTAAATAAATGATTAATAAATTGTCCAATCGATGTAATAATATCAATTCGATGAAAATGAATTGTACTATTCTGTGTAGAATGTGACTTTCTATTATGAAACGATGCTGATAATGTGGATGCTGATGCTGATGCTGCTGATGAAGACTGTTGCTTTGATTGATTTAATTCCAGCGGATGTTGTGGCGTATTTTTTCTTGTGGCAGAAGACAATGACGATGAGGATGACACAGATGATGATGCAGTCACTTGATGGTGATGATGATGAGAAGTGCTCATCATATCGAATTCATCCGTTTTATTGGATTGATTACATAGGAGGGGTGGTGGTGGAGGCGGCGGTGGTGGTGTGTGAATTGTTGTTGCTGCCGCTGTTGATGATGATGTATGACTGTAATGTGATGTAGATAATAAACGTGATCCAATCAATTGAATGAATATAGTTAAATCTTCATAGAATAATAAAGAGAAACGTGATTCACCAGATCGATCAGTCTATGAAAGAGGAAAATAGAAGAAAACAGCAAAAAAACAGAGAGAATATCAAATAGGGATTATTGGAGTCTATTTAATTTGTTGAATACTACCGATTTAATGGTCCATAGGATAAATATTCATGTCCTAGATTGAAGGTTCTGGGCTCGACTCCCACGAACGGGGATTGTGGATGTACACAGCTGATGAGCCTCGTACTAGGACGAAGCGGTTATGAAATGCCTGCAGATTTCTATTGGTGGTCTAATATCGATCAATTCAATTAAACTCAACACAACCCTATGATGACTTATTCATGGTACTTGAAAGATAGTCGTAGAATAGTGTGAAGTGATTAAATATACTGATGTGTACCAGTGAATATCCCAAGTCAGTCAGTTAGCTACAACGTAGAACTTGTTACGTACGTAAATCAGTTCAAGTTGCCTTACTACATTAGTACACAGGCATAGAATTGTCAATTCAAATTCCATACTAGCAGGAATATCCTAAAAGGTAACACAACTTGTCATGAGATTTAAAGGTTCTGGATTCTCTCTTTTCGAGTAAACTCAAACAGATACATATCAGTGATGAGTACTGAAATAGGATAAAACAACTAATATTAACTTGTTAGACAAATAGACTTGTAAATGTAATGTAATTTTGAACATTGTTATTGAGCGAAAAAGTTAAGCAGCTATCGGAACTCAGTAAATATAGCTTTGCTGTTTGAAATAAACGCTAAGGTGTTCAAATCTCAATGTAAGCAAACTTCATTGCTGGTGATTTATTTTCAAATGGACATTTGCTTATTACTTAATGAGAATTCATGACTAGTGGCTTTAATTACAACAGCTACCCCTTCAGCCTACAGTCCTTCTATAGTTAGTGCTGATCCCAAAGACAAATAAAGGACAAAGGTTGGACATGGGTTTGGCGACAACATTCCAAAGAAAACAAACGCTTCGAGTGTTTTAAGTGAAAGGTGACGTGTTCAAATCTTAGTGTAAACTTCAATAGTGGTGTTGCAGGTTCAAACTAGTAACCAATTTTCAAGTGGACTTTCGCTTATTTCTTAATAACAATCCATGAAAAATGACTTCAACATTGGATTTACGTCGTCCGACTAGAGCCTTTCTATGGTTAATGGCACTCTCCAAGCTCAAGTACGAAGGGGAAGGTTGAGTATGAGGTTAACAACCCCATTCCACAGAAAAAAATTTGCTGTTGTTTCCTATTCAACCTAACTGTATAGATACGCATTATCTGTAAAGTTTTATGATCCGGACCTATATCCGGATCCTGGTTCTCTTCTGGACTCAGACCTCGTACTTTCTGGATGCTGATAGAATACAAGTTCTACTTCACATCAAGTCTTCTTCTTTTACTCAATAAGGGGGGTTGGGACAATCGGATCAGAGTAGTCGCCTATTGTGTTGTCGAATCCTCGATCTTCGCTATCATTTTTCGACTAAGGTAAACTCGTAATAGTTCAAGCATATCAAATGACGTGTGTTTACGTGCATGCATAACAGGAACAAAACCCAGAATGTAGTTTTTTTCTAGTTCTTTCAAGTTCTCTAACCACGGGTTACGAATGTCTTGCCGAACCTAACCAGGTAGACTACACTTACCAATATGTCTCAATAAATTTGTCAGTAACTTCATGGATTTGTACTACATTTTAATCTGGCCGCCCCTCGCTTTCTTCCGACTTGGTCCTATACTAGCCATCATCGCTAGCAGTCGACGGTTCGGCATTCATCTCAACCACCTCAACTAATGAAATTTCATTGCTTCATCTATTCTATCATCATTACCTAATACCCTTTTCCCCCGACCGTAGCTGCAACCTTGATGTGGTGATCGAGCTTGCCTATCGTGATGACCCAACCGAGCTATACTGGCTTGAATATTTGTTTCCGTAGGTTTTACCATGCCAGGCAGGTCGATTGGAGAACGATGAGGCCACAAGCAGCTACTCAAGGTCTGAGGGCGAAGTCGTACTGCTGACTGCAGAGAGGTGTGACAACAGTAAGGTATTTCCCTCGGACAACCAGCATCTAAAGCGATGCTGCCCTCTCACAAGGAAGGAAGGGTTAGAAAAGGTCGACCCTAAAAATGTCACACCTCACCTACCTCACGGATTTCCCTCTACGTCTTTAAGGGTGTCCACTAAGGGCTTTCAATGATAAACACCTACCTATATATC